TTAGCACAATAAAAGCTTTCTCAGTGATTGCTGGAAAGAGTAAACAAGATACCATGTAAGAAGCCACTGTGAAATAGTCCAGAGTGATCTGTATGCACAGAGGGACCTACCCCACCACCATTCTAGGACATATTGGCGGCATTTCCCACTTGGTAGTCCTGTATCGAGCTGTTGGTTTTGTCACCTTTTCAAATTGCATTTCAGGTCCTCCAGGCCCTACTGATGGGCATGAATTCCCTATCTCTACAATGTGGGGCATAGGCTCCCCAAAACAATTTCAGTAAAGCCGTAAGCCAAGTGCAAGTGGGAAAGTTTTCTGCTTTTTCAGAGCATACCGCATATTGTGATAAAATATTGGTTATATACTTGAAATAAAGAAAACACTATAAAATTAACCAAAGTGAAGTTCCTCCTAAGTGTCTCTTTTGTAAATATATGTACATACAACGTAGCTCTTTTTAAAAAGCATATAGGCAAGGAATACAACATGAGTAACCTTAAGAAATATGAATTTTACTGGCAAGAAAGGTTTGGGAGGAGCAAATTCTCCTGAGACTAACATTAACTATAAAAAAAATGTAGCATTTCAGTGCAATTCAATATTTTCTTTCATCAGAGGCTCAAAGCCTCAGCCCATAAGTTAAGAGGAACGTAATAAGCTGGCTGTATGTGTTACAACTGAAGCTCCTTTTGTAACCAGGATTCTGGGGGACAGAGCAAAGAGGTGGCCGTGGACTTGAGCTAAAATGGGAATTCCTGCACTTTTGCTCAGAAGGCTAGTATCTTGGCTGGGAGAGCTGCATGCCTCCTGCAGCCTGCAGCAGCAACCTAAATCTAAGCAGCAAACAGCTGCGAAAGATGGGCGCAGGGATGAGGTTCTGAGTGATGGGGCCAGGCCTCTCTCCGGGGCTGCTGCTGCCTGCCGAGAGCAGCCTGTCTACCTCCAAGTCCACCTAGGAACCACTCCACACCACTCTGCTTTGCTAGAATCTCCAAGTTAAAGTCATTAGATGCTAAGTCTCCATTTGCTAAGAGAAGGAGGTACTTTTTTAACTAAAAAAAAAAAAGGCAGAGAAATAATTCATTTATTTAACCCAGAAATGGTTATAATCTGAAACCCTGCAATCCCATTACACAACAACAGTTTTGGCAAACGCCGCTATGTTCCAACAAATATTAAACTGTGCTTGCCATTTGTCTAAGGAATCTTGCATTAATAAACATGAAGAAGAACACTTTTACCTCCCACTCTCAATGACAGGACCAAACAAAGACCAGCTGTATTCATCAATGGGTCCTTGTTCTGCACATAAAGGCTAATTACATTTTGCTTCAAGCCTACACATGGAAAACTTTACTGCTGCCATCGCCGTCACAGTCAGTCCGTGCTGTCCCAGCTGAAGCAGGGTGATGACTTGTACACAATAAACAGGGGTCTTGGAACAGCCCTGGTGCCTTCGACCTGCATGCTTCTTTACAAAATGGGGGTGAGGGATGGTCACCCCAGTGACATCTCCCAGCAACAGAGAGGAAGAGGTAACACATGCTCTTTGAATCTCATGGGGGAGATGACGCCAGCAAGGTCAGTCTTCTCCAGGGCCTGCTAATTTCAGTAAAGCACCCCAAGCCCTGCTGTGAGACTGCCAGGAATAGCTTCTGCTGACAGTGCTGTCACTGTGTGCTAGTGCTGCACACACACCTTCTCATTACTCTTCACAACCATTCCATGCCTTGACTACTATTTTGCCCATTGTACAGGCGAGAAAAGTGAGATGTAGAGGTTAATGAGCTTATCCGAGGTCACATGGAGAGTGCATAGTGGACCTGTGCGAACCACTCCCAGGTCAGTGTTCTCTAAAGCCCACGTTCCCCTACGCTTCCCCAACCCCTTTCCTATGTTTCCAGTCAACAAATATATAAGAATTCCTCCTTTTGAAGAGAGACAATAAATTGTTTTGAAATGTTTTAAGACCATTTGTGAAAAGATTTGCCCCTGGAGGGCTTATATACATATGTATTAATGGAGAGCTGTCTAGTCTAATAAAATATATGTAGGTTGGGGCTGAAGCAGATGGTAGAGTGGCAAACCTTTCCCAGAAAATAGAAGGGGAGAGGAATGTGGAGGGAGAAGCTTCATGTGAGATCTCTAAGACTGAAGCAATTGCCTCCAAAGTTAAAAGAAAGTAGCAATTATTATCTCAGTCCATTCTCTACATTTTTTGTGGATTACTTACTCTGGGAACCATTTACAATAAGTGTTTGGCCCTAGGCTGCCTTTTGTTAGTAGTCATCCATCTCTGATTTGGGAAATGCCTGATCCCTGTCTGAGCCTGAGTCCAGCCCCTCGGCTCTCACTGTGTCCACCTTGACCCTACAGAGAAGCCATTCGGGACTTCTGGCTGGTCCTCCAGAAGAGCAGCCTTGCTGGCCTGTTTTCACAAACAGCCTCTAGGAACTGCATCCTTTGGCCTCCAGGAACTCCTTACCTTGACTTATCTTTCAACTTCAAATCATACATCACTCCCTTCAGGAAGGCTTTCTAGACAATTCTTTCCTTTTGCACCAGCTGGGTGGGGTCCTGTGTTGGACACCTGCCATTCCCATGTCCAGCTCTAGTCCCCCCACCTCCTGGGGGCTGCCCTCAGGCTTCTAGTTTGCCACGGGGAATCCTGGCAGGGAAAGGGAGGAGGGTAAGGCCAGGGAGTTACTGGTGCTGCTCGAGATTTCTCAACCCTCCCATCAGCTCCTTTCAAGGTGGTCTCTTCAAACCTGGGCATGGTAGACTCTGGCCAGTGCTCCCTAGGGATGCTGCATTCCCTTTGTGGTCGTCCTCCTCCTGGCCCATGCCACAGCAAACAGTCCAAACGTTAAACTCTCTCTGCTTACCCTAGTTGGAGTGTGCTATCTGTCTTCTGCAGAGACCCTAACTGGCACAGGTGCCCCTCATAACTAATGTCCCCTCTATTACAGCAGTGATCACACTAGATTGCAATGGTTTTTCTCTCCCCTGAGCCTTTTATCCCAGGCCTTCCCAAGCCCAGCATAGTCTAGGCACAAAGGAAGCCTCCAGGAGTGTCTGCTGGATTAATGAGTGGACCTGTTATCTTTGAGTCAAACATATCGTTTACCTGTCAGGCTTGTTCTCTCCAAGAGCACATGTGCATACCACACCCTGCCTCCCTACTCATCACTGGAGAAGACGAGAGAATGTCCTGCTATGATCGCAGGAGGGGACACACGCCAGGAGTGCCCATGCCCCTGTCAGCAGTTTGTGACAACAGTCAGTCCCAAAGCAAAGCATTTTCACGATGAGCAATCGACCCCCATATTTTTTGATTCCATTTTCTGGTTCTGGTTGAGAGAAATGAATCAGCCTCCAGCACTAGCCTTGCCTACACTGAGGCCAGAAGAGGATGGGGGATGTGGCTAAGATGTCCCTTCCTCTCTCGTTCTGTCTCCCAGTCACTTCCCCAGCCACCATGTTCCCTACCTAGAGATGAAAACCTGGGAGTAGAGGAAAATTTAAGTCCTTACTGGACGGCTGGTTCTCTGTTGCTTCCTCAGTCCCTAAAACAAACCAATTGGATGGACACAAATTTTCTATGTGTCATTTTAGAAGCCCAGTAAGAAAAAAAATGAATCTAAACCAGGGACAGTATTTAGCCACCATATGACAAATGGCATTCTTTGCTGTCTATTCTGAACAGCTTCAGTATAGAAGGTGAACCTTGTCATCACATTGTTTCTTTCCCCCAAGTAGGTGCATGTCCATGGCTGACAGCACAGCAGAAGACACCACCTTCTGGAAGTTGAACTTTTTCTTAAAAATTGAGTTTTAGAGAGAGAGAGAGAGAGGAAGGGGGAGGGGGGAGAGAAGCATCGATGTGCGAGGGAAACATTGGTCAGCTGCCTCCTGCATATCCCCTACCGGGGATCAAGCCCGAAAGCCCAGCATATGCTCTAACTGGGAATCAAACCAGCAACCCTTCAGTCCACAGGATGACGGCCAACCAACTGAGCCACACTGGCCAGGGCTGGAAGTTGAACTTCTGTAACACTCTCAAAGCAGTGCTTTTCAAATGGTTTATGACTGAGATCCACAGGAATAACTATATTTTACACTGTGATCCTGGGAGGAGGGTGGCACTATCTAGCTTTCTCCCTCCTCCCCAGTGAGGCCTATGTGAGTGAGCACAGCAGAACTTTCTTCCTGGAATAGGCCATCTGAGAGACACAGCCAGGGGCACACGGGTTTTTGTGGGAGATGGGAAGAGGCTCCCAGAATAGGAAAAGATGGTTCAAACTCAAGCTTGGCGTTGCCTGTCTGGACTTTAGTAGAGGAGGCCATGGCTAGGGACAATCTCTGTGGCTTCTACACCTTCCTTGATTTATGTCAAACTTATTTCTTCTGTTCTGGTGTTCTACCTGGGGGGGGGGGGGGATGTCAAGAAGGGATCCTATGGCAGATCACTAATTTCCTTCTCATGGAGCCTTGTGTGATACACCTGCCCAAATATGCACACTTACTATATGTACGCATCTACATAGGGACACCCAGTGTTTTAAGGTGTGACCTGAACTATTAAACCTGTGTGGGAATGAAAGACTCGGCACAGGTAAAAGGTGATGCAATTTGTACAGACCAAGCAAGTTCCACAAAATGTCCCATCTATCCCATCTTCTATAAGCTGACTCTTTTCCGAAATTTTTTAGAAAAAGGCAGTGTTAACTGGGCTTCACAAAACTTATGGAAAAAAGTTTCAGGTGGAAGAACTGTTCTGAGAGCACCAGAGCTTGGGTATTAAACTGACACAAGCTACTCATGGGAGTGACACTGCCTTCCTGACATCAGTTCAGAGTCCAAGCACCTTCTAAACCCCATACCGCTTTGCAAAGCCGACAGACAGAAAGGGGAAGAGGGCAGGTCCTTTATGGATTGGCAAAATCAGGTGAGGCCTGACCAAGCGCACGCAGATGGAGGAAGCCAGAGAGAGACTTACTTGGCAGTAATTTCTTCATCATATTTGGTTTTCAGGTCAAATAATTCTGTTCGAGTTTTTTCCAGGGCTGAAAGGCAGAGGACAAAACCATAATATAAGACACTAATATTTAAATTAAATTTAAAAAGGAAGAGCATACAAGGAATTCATTCTCATTTGAAAAGAGTCAAAAGTTACAAAAGTATATAGAGTGGAACAGAAAATCCCCCTTCCCTTCCACCTCATCTCATCCCATGCACCTCCTCAGAGATCACCACTGTTTATAGTTTAGTTTTTAGATTTCCTTCCTTTAAATATATTTTGTTATTTAAAAATATTTCCATGTATCATTGCACATGTATCTATATATTTTTCATCCCCCATAAATAGGAAGATACAAATATTCTATGACCTTCCTTTTCCCTTAGCAGAATGGCACGGCACTCTCTCCGCGTCAGGACACAGGCGACATCAGTAACAATCGGCTTTGGTACAGAGCCTGCCTGCCACGGTCAGGCACTTCAGCGTGCCTAGAAGGGGAGAGGCTTCGACATTCCAACTGCAGATCAATACTACTGGCTAGCCCCCAAGGGGCAAGTTACATTCCCATTAATACTATGAGTGTGCCTATTTTCCTATACTCTCACCAACACTGAAGATTATCAATTAAAAGTTTGTTTGAGAGTCTGATAGGCAAAATAATTTTTTACTGATTTAATTAGCATCTCCCAGACGATTTTTCAGGTGTGTGTCAGTCACGTGCATCTCTTCTGCAAGCTGCCTGTTCACACCCTTACCCCACTATTCTGCAGACTGTTCATCTATTTTTACTGGTTTCTAGGAGGTCTTTATATATTTTGATTATTATTCATTTGTTAAGTTTGTTGTGATTATTTTCCACATTTATATGGAATTAATATTAAATTAAATATATAGCGTGGTTTCCCTTTCAGAACAAAAATAAAAAGGAAAAAAGGAATAAAATATTTAGCATAACCTTTCTTGCTGTCTTTTAAATGTCTGTTATTACTGTTCTCCTTAACTTCACTAAGGGTAGAAATAAGTTTTTCTTTTCCTAATATTGTTCCAAATGAAATGTCAGTCCTTGATGGTTTGGTGATTTAGATGAGTTTGTTGGAAAAAGAGCAGAAAGAAAGAATGGCTTGTGGAAGGGATGAAAATGTAATTCAGTTCCTCCCACCTTGACATTAACAACTCAGTGTGGGTGACTAATGGAAGTCAAGGCAGAGAAGCTGGGGGCTCTACGAGGCATTCTGGAATGTGGGCGCCCTTCTCTCCACCAGGCTCACCATGGCAGGGCAACAGGTATCAGAGGGGGCCTGGGGGTACCTGGAGATGGACCAAATGTCCCCCATTTCAGTCCTGCCTGCATCAACCCAACAAGGATGAAGAATATCACACCTGTTTGCAGAGTCTGGACTTTATGTTCCGCTTCCTCCAGCTTTGAGGTGGTGGACATCTGTGTCTCTTGCAGCTTTCTGAAAAGGAAGAGAAGACAGCCGAACTGGTCATGTTTAGCAACATACACATCTTGTGTGTTCTGGAGCTATGACAATCAGCTATCTTCGCCATATCACACACAGCCAGGGACAGGTACAAGATCAGGTATCACTCGTAACACCATGAGCACCGTGGAGCCCACTTACACCCAACTTTGTGCCCACATGTTACTTAAAGTGAAATGTGCATCCTGTGGGACTTGACGGTTGGTAATTGATGTGGAAGGTTATCCCAAATGTAATTTGCTTATGAAATGCTAGATATGAAAAAAAATCATCATCATGCACTCATTGTTTTCTGAAGTTAGCCCAAGAAGAATGATACATTTACATTTTGCTGACACAATGAAGGAATTTGCTGGAATAAAGGATGTACTAAATAGATGTGACAGCTGTTCCATTTCTGTTATAATGGAATGTGAATGCAACCGCAATACCTAATGGGAAATTCTGAATGTTTTAAATGACATTCCACATATTTATATTTCCCATGCTCTCCAAATGAATTCCCTGGTCAATAAATAGCATTCCTTCCTTCTAATCTGCAGAAAATTCTCCAAAAATAAGTTTATTATTTTTACATTATATGAATATAACACATGTTCTCATAATAATAAATCTGGGAATACAGAAAAGTAGAAATAACAGTTAAAAAAATCAACCAAATTTCCATCACCTATGGAAATGGATTGCTCACATTTCCACATACTTCAATTATAAAATTAATATATGCCCTGAAGTAAAAAAACAAAAACAAAACACAAATATTATGAGCATGAAAGCTAAAACGTCCTTTCCTTTCCTTGGTTCTCTTTCTTCTTCAGATAGAGTTCTTTATAACCTTCTAAATTTAAAAAAAGTTTTAAATTTTAGGTAATCATATTTAGATAATTTTCCTTTTATGCTTACAGAGATCTCCCCACTCCAAAATGATTAAAAACAAAATACTGCCTAAGTTTTCTTTCACTATGTATATGATTTAATCATTAATATTTAAATCCTAGCTCCTTTTCAATTTTTTCGTGTAAAGAATGAGGTAAAGACTTAGCTTTGTCCTTCACCCCAGTGGTCAGTCATTCACATCTTTTAATAGGATAAATCCTTTTACCTAATTTGAAAAGTCAACTTGAAAAATATTAAATTGCCTATACATTTTTGTAATGTATAAGTTTGTGCTATGCAGATGGAATCACACTGTATATAATAGTTTATCATTCATTTTTCACTTTATATTATGCTAGATACATTTCTGATGTTATTGCAAATTCTACATAACTATTATTTTAATGGCTGCATAATGTTCTAGTTAGGGATGACCCATCTTTTACTGACCCGTATTTCGTTGGCAAGCATTTCAATTGCTTACATTCCTCCTCCACCCATTATCAATAACATGCTGAGCAATCTCTTTGGGCATAAAGTGCTTTCCTGGGAGGCATTAAGAATTCACTCATCTTTGAGAGCCCTGGCTTCTTTTCTCCCAACAGTGTGGGTGCAGCATCCCTGTGCAGAGTTGGGTTTGGCCGTGGTCCTGGAGTGAGGACTTCGGTGAAGCCACGTCTGAGCACAGGGAGGCCAGGGCTGCAGTGGTGGATCAGGCCCTGGTCCCACCTCAGGCCGACTAGGTAGTACAGCAGCTAATCTGAGGCCCAGTTTCTCCATCTGTAAAATGACACGTCCACTCTGCAGCTCTGTTCTGGACCTGGAAATACATTCCAAAAGGGCCTGGCAGGTACAAAGCAGGCACCAGGTGAGTGGAGTGGGCATTCTTCCTTTTTCCTAAATGACGCCTGCTTAATAGTGCTCCAGAGAGTCCTGGGTGATACTTGATCTTCACGGAGCCCGCCGTATGGAAGTGCAAGTAGCTGCACTCAAAGTCAACTGGACACAACATCAGGCCTCGCTTCTCACTTGAAACCACACCTTTAGTGCCTCTTGCTAATGTATACACACATTTCTTCATGATAGGTCTAAAATATAAAATCTGTATTTCACCAGAGTTCTAAAAACCCAACTTATGTCATATTACAGTATTTACAAGAAATCCAACTTTCGTTAAACCATCACAATAGTGAAAAACCAGCTCACTGTTTGTGGAAAAGTTTTGGGTGAGGTGGGCCACCTGAGATCTAAAACACACAGCAGTTGGATGGTTCATTAACATATTTAACTGACATCAGCTCCTTGATATATGAAGCACCATGAGGTAATGAAAAGATGTACAATCGTCATGTGCCAACCACACACACTTCACGCTGAATGTCTGGACCTGCATGGTCTAGACAGGCCCACTCTGGCCCACTGACTGACGCTGTCCCCCAGTGGGGAAAGACTGATACATTTCACTCGAGGGAGTCCTACCCATTACAGAATAAGGGACACCTTTACTTTTCAAACAAAATTTTGCCTAGAGCTCCCAGGATTTTGGTTTATAACCTGGGCATACGTCACAGGCACATTTAAAAAACTATCTTGTCATGTGGAGTTTAGAGGTAAAACATTATATCAGTACATGCAAACCCCAACACATGCTCACCTCTCCTTTTCTGCAAAATCATTTTGTAACTTTTGTTCCTTTTCCAGAGCTATAGTCTCAGCTTGGTTCTTCAGAGTCTGCTCATATTCTCGGATTTTCTCTTTAAGTGCTTTTATCGTAACCTCTGCAGGAAGAAAAAAAACTACAGTAAGAGACGCACAGTCCGTGTGGCTATATATATGGGCTTTCGTAACTGAGTAGAATCGGTGTGTTTTAAACTTTAGCTCTTCAACTCTGACACAAAATCAATGGTTACGGGTCCCTTCAGAGACCTTTTACTCCCTAAATGTTAAATTGAACTTTAAACGTTTAGGTTGAGGAGGATCAATGGATTTTGCTGGGAAGAAGAGCTATAGTTTCTCTAATACAACTTAAAAAAAGGAGGGGGGATCAATGGTAAAATATAACATCTTATTGATGAGTCTTAAATTAGTCCTCTACTGAGGGAAATTAATAAAGTTTTAGTGTGGGTTTAAGTACTTTCTTACAAAGAAAACAGTTCATAATTGTGAACATTTTGGAAGATGCTGTCTTAGCCAAAGTCACGTACGCCTACAGGTCTCCGTGGCTGTGGGCACACCTTTGCTGTCACAGTGATGGAACATGCAGTGTGCTAAGTGGATACAATGTGCATCTCTTGGCTGGAAGGGACCCACCCTGCAGCTAGGGTGCAGAAAATACCCTCCACCCAGGCGGGAGTCTGATGGACTAAAGCTATGTGTGCAGAGAAGACAAACAAGGCCCAGGGGAGCTGCACTTGAGGGAGGGTGAGGGTTAAGGGTGTGGGCAGTGGTGCTGTGCAAAGAAGGGGCCCTGAAGTGCCAGGCTCAGGACATGGGGGCCCTTGGGAGAGCAGGCTGTGTCTATAAAGATCAGGCCACACCACCAGTTACCCCAAATGGGAACACTAAAGCAGACGAAGTGAATGGGGCAGTGTCCTAACTCTGACCCATGCTGGCTCCAGGGCAGGACCACTCCACATGCTCCCTCCCACAGATCCCCCCACTCCACCCTGCATGCTGGACAGTCCCTGGCAGAGCGCTGTGGTCCCAACTCCAAGGAGACTGGAGCTCTTGGGGAACTACACCTGCTGTGCATGAATCCATCTCTTAGAAGGCAAAGCTGAGGTTCTTTGTGGCCCCAGCACCTGGCACAGGCGGGTGCTCTGGAAATGGCTGATGCACAAATGAATGAAGGAGCCAAGGTTGGGCTGACAGGTTGAGAACCAGGCAGGGCTAGTGACAATGGGGCTCCAGGGTCATTGGAGAGTGCCACCTGCCAGATCTTTGCCCAAGTGAGAGCTTGGATTGGTGGCTCTTGTTCCTTCAGGCTGATACTCACGTTCACCTGTGCTGCCTGAGCAGCACAGACATGCTGGGCAAGGCAGGAGCACATCGGCTGGGCATTTAGTATTTATGTTGCTTAGTGGATAAAAGCTAAAGGCTCTTTTGTTAAAAGAAGAAATTGGTCCTTTTTATTAAGTGGAACTCAGAAGGTTCTCCTTACAGGAAGAGAGAGGGAATTAAAACTCATGACCCTGTCAGGGCATTTGAAAGAATGGGGGGCTTTCTGCCTTTTGGACTAGTAATTCTGGGCCTGAAAGAAATGCTCTGTGAGCACAATGGTTAGCGGTGCACGTCACTGTCAAGCCACACTGCCAGAACTAAAGTTGGGCATAAGTGGAACACTTCCAAATGAACAGCGAAACAGGTCACCTCTCAACACACTTGCACATTCTGTAAGTCAATGGTCTATGCAACGATGAGAACATATAGCATTTCTGCCTCTAACAATTGGTTGGAAATAACTGTTCAGTCCCTGGAACCCAGTGCTCATTCCAATGGGGTCCCTCAGTGTGACACATCCATGTTCCTTCCAGGGGTCTTTGGGGGACTAGCTAGGGCCTCCCACTCTGTCTGATGAGGCATCTTTGCCACCCCCTAACCCTGAGTGGGCTGCTCACTGATTCGCTGAGCCTAAGCCAGGAGCTGGCTTGTCCTGGAGCCTCTGACTCTGGTCCTCCTCCTGTACCCAGGCCTGGGCCTAGGACATTCTCCTGGGTGTGTCCCAGCAGGATCACCTACATGTGAGCAGGTGAGGGGAATGAACAGTGTGGCAGAAAGGGCACTGAAGTGCTGTTCTAATTGGCTGTACCCAGAGCCCTAACTTACTCACCTAAATGCAGGGAAGAATTTTAGCACATAATACATTCCTTTCCTCCTCTAACTTTTTATCAATCTACAGTATAGCTGTGATGATTAAAACAAGTGACGTACACCCCAGCCCTTCCAAATTAAAATCATTTTTATATTGGGAAGAAAAGAGAGGAACTTGACATTTTTCTGGAGGTTGGGAAAAATCTGTTAAGGTATCAATAAAAAAAGAAAAGGGGGGAATTTCTAGAAAAAAACAACAGTGCTAAGTAAGAGTAGCTCATCTTTTCTGAGTGTCAGAAATAGCGCTAAATGTCTCACCAGCCTCTCATTTAACCTACACAACCCTATGCGGTTAGTATGAGAATCCCCCACCCAAGAAAATGAGGCTTATAATAAAGTGAGATCCCTTGTTCAAGGTGACAGCCAAGTAGTGGCAATGTAGGGACTCAAACCAGGCCTGTACAATCCCAGTGTCTTTGTTCTTAAGTCTTTGACTGTATAATATACTATTTCATTTATAAACACCCATCAGATGGAGCCACTGGGGAGAACATCTCACACAGTTGTGGTCCTCACTGGGCAACTGGCCATGGAGGCACTGAGGAAACAAGGCAGGGGGAAGGAAAACAGTATCTGCACTGTCCTCTAACAAAACAAAATGAAAATAAAGACAACACCAAGAGTAAGATGCTAGAGGTCGCCAGGTGGGAAAAAACCCAAAGCTCATTCCTTTTGGGTAGGGCTGCAGCAAAACCCAGGTGTACATTTTATAGGTTATCTTTCACCTGAGCATCTGGGTGGTTCTGAAAAGAAACAGCTCCTGCTGGGGAAAGACAGCCCCTTCTCCCACCCAGATCCCAGCCTAGTAAGTCCAACACCTCACTTCCCAGCAGGAAAAAGCAGGCTCTGAGTCCCAGTGACTCACCGCTCCCTGTGGCACCAGATGGAGGTGTGTATGCGGGGGGCAGTCTCAGCTGTCCCCTACTCTAGCACCCCAAGGAAGGGGACCCACAGGACTGCTGCCCACACCGCCAGGCCTGTACCTTCTAGCTGCTCATCATAGTCTCTTCCTGGATCCTTTCCATGGACAATCCCTTCTCGCAAGCCTGTCTTCAATGGGCTCAAAGCCCAAGGACACTTTTAAAAATCTTCATCAGTTAATTCTTTATCCAACTCTCGGAGAATATTAAACAGAAGGCCACTCGGAGGAGGTCACCAAAGTGGTTTGCCTTTCGTTTCTAGCTCCTTGCTCACCCAAAGCCCAAACAAAAACCAACAGGCTGCATTTCTCCTTGGAGCTGCCTGAAAAACCTGCAGCTGCTGTCAGACAGGGCTGCGTTTTTCTTCAAAATGAGGAAGTCATAAGGCTCCCGGAATCTGAACACATCTGGATTTTAGGTGCAGGAGCAATTTCTTTGTTCTTCCCTGACATGAAAAGCCAGGCAACCTTTGCCCTCTCTGTCTTGTTGATGGCTGGGCAACCACACCAAGAGGTCGTTTTCTTTCATTAAATTTGTAATGAGTAGGTGACGCTGACAAGGAAACAGTAGTGCTTAAGCATGCAGACTTGTAGGATGCAGCTAAAGCCTTAATGTATCGGCAGCAATTATTAAATGACTTACTGTATGTGAGCCTTTGATCATAAGCTGGCTCTCTGACAGGTGTTACCCACAGGCAACGCATCATTCTTTTAAAAGGCAGATCCTATCACATGATGATACAGGAAGAATTTTGAAAGAATCCTGATCAGTCCCGTCACAGGGCAATAAAATCATATGTAGTTACTGTGCAGAGGAAAAGTTTTACTTCTAAATAGCTAAGCATTATTATTACCTCTCTTTAACGATTCTGCTTCTTACCCCACCCTGACTTTATGACGTATATTACAATTAGAGCTAGTCCCAACAGTATGGGGAAGGTAATTTAAAAAAAAGAGAGAGAGAAAAAGCCAAGCAAAGAATGCATCTTCCACCAACCTTGATTTTTTACTTCAGCAAATTCCTTGTTGTATTCTTCAAGTGTTTCCCTAAGTTTCTGGTTCTCTGTTTCAATGTCGTGCAGGCGCTGCACTTTCAGCTGGAGCTGCTGTCCAAGATCCAGGGCCGGCACGGGATCTGCATGAGAGGAAAACACACATCACCCCACTCTGGACACAGACAAGTCACCTTCATGGTCACACGGAGGCTCAGGCAGGTCTCCAGCCCTGCAGCTGCCACCACTTGCCAGAAATTGGGGCACGTGTGGCCTTGCCACCTTCTTCAGAGTCCCATGGCTGGGATAGGGGCAATTCTCTGTTGGCTACAAAGGATGTGTATGCAGACCTACCCCAGGGCCCCCAAGGCATGAAAATGGGGTATAATGGCCATGGACTCACTGGGAAATGCCCACTGCTCTGGCATAGTGTGACACTGAATCTTTGAGCTAATAGGAAGAGAGACACATGTGGTGGCAGCAAGGAGAGGCACCCTGGGAAATCATCCGTGCACCTAGAGCTGCACAGAAGGATCGATGGTGTGTGGGAAGGTGCACTAATCCACAAGTTTACAATCATTCTTATGAAGCTGAAATAACATCTGATACTATGAGATTGTCTCTGTCACAAAACCTTTTACAGACATTTTCTCATTTGAGCCTCACAATAATGCTGGGAAAGAGATGTAAGACGTATATTAGTTCCTTTCACAGAGGTGGAAACTAAAGCTCAGGGAAGGCGAGTGACTTGTCCAAGGTTTCCCGGCTAGTGAGTGGGCAGAGAGAACTCGAACCCAAGCCTGTTAACTCTAAGTGACTGTTGTTACAACAAGGAAGATCCCCTGATGGAGGGGAGGAAATAAATACAGCTTTTATAAGAGGCCACCTTACTTAGGACATGCTCACTTTCAATCACAATCTTCCTTCACTAACCAAGGACACTCACAAGAGAGTCAGGTGAGCTGGTGAGCCAACCTGCTGTAACCCGTCCTAGGCCACCGGGCCCGGTGGCCAGGAGGCCCCCACACTCTTATAGTACAAACAGCAGGAGATGGCATATGGGTTAGTTATATGAGGTTTTGTGAGCAATTTGATGTACTATCCACCACCAGATTTACTTATAAAAAACTGAATTTTAATCTAAAATTAGAGATTGCAGACACAGAATTTATATACTGACTCTTGGCCTTCAGCACAAAATGGAGAGACATTAAACATTCTTCTGGCGTCCATTTGATCTGTATTTTTTCTTCGGCTGCCTAAAAAGGCACTTATAATCCACCTGCTGGGCACCAGCGGAGCACTTCCTCTAGAACTCTTGGGCTCCGTCAGAGTAGAATACCCAAGTCCGCTGGGCTTAGAAAAGATTATTGAAGATATTTCTGGTATGGACGCCAGCATCACTTGTGAAATGGCTGCAAGGATTTAGTCTCCAGTTGAGGAATGCTAAACACCGAGCACAGCGGATCAACAAGGGTATATATTCAAGAGCTCACTTAATTTTCAAATACCAGAGTCATTAATTTTTCAGACCACCCCCGGTTCCTGGAAATGAGGGCTAGATCCACATGTTCCAGTCGACGCGTCTACCCGGAGCCAGGAGCTCTCTGAGATGCCAACGTCTTTACAGAGTTTACAAAAGGCGGGCACTGGGATGTGTCCAGCACAGCGGCAGACCTGCACGTGAGGCTTACGCCAACACTGTCCATCACGTGAAACCCGGCTGCCGGGCATTTACTCAGTGTGTGTATACAGTTTATGACGACATCACTTTCTCATTTGTGGCTGTTCATTATTATTTTAATCAGCATTAAAATATTTGTATTAAATTAGATTTCAAAAACTATTTAGGGGAGATAGTTCTTTGTAAGTAGGCGTAGTAACAACACTAAAGACTGAATTACTCAGAACATTCCAGGTGAGGCTTTTTAAAAAAAAAAATTTCAGTATTTTCCAGGGTACCTTCTCACCCCCCACCCCTCCCTCCAGGACCTCGTGCTGGGCAAATGGCTTAAAGGAAAGAAATGGTATGCCCACATGGCCCTCTTCATATAAAACTACAATTTGAACTTGAGGCAGAAGTCAGGGAAGGCCTGAGAAGGAGAACCGCTGCACTGGTATAAAATTCTATTAGTGTTCGTTCATGCAGGCTTTCCAGCACAATTGCCAGTACAAACGATATCTTTAGAGAGCTAAACTAGTATACTGCCTAAACTTTTTGCCAACAACTTTTCCAATCCATTCCTTTTAAGAAAAAGCCCAGGATCCATTGTGTCTGCTTCAAATAAAAAAAAAATAGCTTCCCTAGTTCGATCTGGCAAGGAATTCAGTGACATATAAAAATAACATGCACATTATAAAGTGAATGGTAACTAGACCTTTAGACAAATTTTCAAAGCATTATATTGTAAATGAAAATTCTGGCAATCTCATAATTATTCATTATGGCATGTATATTTAATTTAACACTATTAAAGGTTAATGCCTAAGTAGCAAAACTGGTCACAGAATAAAGAATGAACTGAATGTTCAAACATCTCTATGCATTAAACTTCAAACTTTACTATAGTACAATTGAATGACTAAACGCCTACAGCATTTGAATATTGTTTTGGATTATGTAAAAGGCATTGCTAAAGTACCTCTTAGGCTTAATTTTTATTACTTGCATTAAAGGAACAGCTAATTACCACATGACAATATAATGACTCTAGCGTGTTTGGGCTAGAGACCAAAACAACGACTTTTGGCATGCCAAACCCCAACCTGCATGTTAATCTAGGGGAAATCATAGCTTTTTTTGTCTCGTTAATGATTTCCAATGCCATTTAAACCCCACACGAGTATTGTTAGGCCTTATTCTGAACGTCACAAGCCTCCGATCTCAGCAGCTCAATTAGGGAATTGTCTGGGGGAGGCAAGAGAACACACCCATACGTGGAACAGGAACACACAAAACCCTCAACCAGTCTTCCCTGCCTCCTCCAATTCAACAGGCTTTATTGCCAGTTCCATCCACCCATTGTGACAAACTTACAATTTGTTTTATAATCATCTAATAGTTAACTCCTGAAACACTCTTTGAGGCACTGTAGAGCTCTATGCAACACAGGACCCAAAGAACATAATTACAACAAGCAACAACACAGTCACCTGTATTCATACAGCACCTTCTCCTAAGTACATGTAACATGATCTCATTAATTCCAGCCCTCACATTCAGGGTTGGGGGAGTGGGCTCTGCAATATGTCTGGTGCTGGCTCCTCAGCTAAAGGAGAGGGGGAGGAGAGAAGTCGGCCAAGCAAAGAGGTATGCAAAATTCTAATGAAAATTTCTGCTTCCTGAATTAGCAGCCCCCTAAATTATCCTGTCTCTTCAAGTCCTACTTTAACAAGTATTTCCTAAGCATCTTTCTGCTCTGGGTAAGGCCCAAGTGAGGCACTGGGATAGACATTCAGCCATGTCAGCTAGGACCAGCTTCATAAGAGAGATAAATCATGTTCACAAATATCAATGGTAAAACAAGATGGGCCACACAGATCAGATGAGTGAAGGACCACTCCCAGATAGAGAAACTGGGAAAAGTAGATTTTTTTTGAAAAGAGAAGACAAGAGTTTAGACCCATGGAGATTGTGGGTCAATCCATGTAGAAGACAGAGCATCCAGGGGAAAACGGAGTAGGGAAGCACCAGGCACAGTTCAGTCTACTGCTGGCGCCCAAGTACACATTCTATGACACCAGGAATGTTCTAGGTGCCCGG